CAAATTTCTAGTTTTATATATACAATGTTTTTAAGAATTTGAGCACTTCCACTAAGAGCATTTCCATCAGAAAATGTCTAGCTATAAGCCTTCTACTCCAAAATAATCGTTTTTCTCTGAACTCTTATATCAAGCAGTCTATGCTCTATGAGCTTCCATTGGTGAACTGAAGAGGCAAAAAAAAAAAAAAAAAAAAGCCCCAAAGAGAGTTTTGAGGACTAATAGTAGTAATGCCTTAATCTTTAAACTATTTAACTTCTGAGATTAATACATACATTGTATATTGGTTTGCCACTTGACACAAAGATCTTTTCTAGTGAACTGTTAATATTTTCTTACAGGTATTCCTCAGCCCTGCTACCAGAGAGAGGAAACATCTTAACTTACTGGATCAGAATTTCTCAACCTATCTTTAGAAAGATGTTATTTCCCATTTTGCTCCAGACTGGGTTTTCAGCATACCTTAGTTCTAGGCAATATAAACTACTTATAAAGGCTCTTCAGTTACCTGAACCTGGCCTAAAAATTCAGTGATTGTTAAGCAAATGTGTACACAAAAATAAAACTGTAAGAATAACCAATGTCTACTATATGAACATCTATATATATAAGCCTAAGTGACCGGAATGATTGGTCACTATGACGCTCACCACCCAGGGGCAACAATGCAGGAGCTGCCCTGTGGTGGTCAGTGCGTTCCCACAGCCAACCTCTCTGGGCCAGCCAACCTCCTGTGGTTCTTCCTGACTCCGGCCGGCAGGCCCTGATGGTCCGATTGGGGCCGGCCCCTGGGGCTGGGACAGGGAATTGGGGGTGGGTGGCAGCGGACGTGGCCCCTTTCCCAGGAGGGCTGAGGGCTGGCTCCCTCCTTGGGGCCAGCGGCCAATCTCCCGTGCTCTGTCTCTCCCCACTGCCACAGGCCCTGATTGGCCCGCCACCAGCCCGCCACGGTGGCGGCATAGTGGCAAGGGAAGGAGGAGGGGGGAGGCAGGGAACTGTGTGGTGGTGGGGCGCTGACAACGGTGGCATCAGTGTGTTCCTTCTGCGCCAGGCCCGGCCACCATCGCCTCCTCTCCGGCCCGGCCCTGATAGCCAGCCAGGCCTAGGGACCCCAACCGTGCACGAATTTCATGTACCGGGCCTCTAGTAGACTTATAATTTATCATGAGATACAACTCTAATGAGACCTACTGAATACCAGTAAAGGCTACCCACTTAAACAAGAGCATCACTTCTCTAGTTTGCCCAGTAATGTCTTCACCACACTTGCTCTATGCCTTTAAATTAGGCAGAGTTTGATCTTTAACAGAGAGAAAAAACAACAAAACACAACCATAAAACAGTTTACAGTGAAGACTTCATAATGAATCCAAACAGGAATGAAAATGGGGGGTGGAGTGGGAATATCAGTATACCACCAAATGTTATTTACACTTCAGTTTCCTAATTCATTGTTTCCACTGGTATTAATCCAGACTCTTAGAACATTTTCATTAACCTTCCTCACAGAGGGATCAATTCCAGTATTCTTTACAGATGGTTGTTCAGGCTCAACTTGAGCTCTAATTATATAGCTACATGCTTCAAAAGTCACCTATTTATATCCTTGGAAAGCTATAGTCTTAGAAGACAGGCTGATCCTACCCTTGAAGTTCCCATCTAGTATGGAATAGTTCTTTAGAATCACAGAATTTGAGCCTTTGTTTAAGCTCTGTGATGCTAAGCAAGTTAACTAGCCTCTCTGGCCCTCAATGCTCATCATTAACCTCACTCAATATTGGTATTACATAACATGTAATTTGCCTAACATAGCACCTACCTGATGCTATCAGGCACTCATATGGTAGCCATATTCCTATTGCTACTGGTTTTTTCTGAAATATCCGTCTTTCTTTACTTCCTAAGATAATTTAAATATTAGACATAACCTATTGTGTTCCCCTTGCTAAAACTTTTTTTATTATATTTTTTATTGATGTCAGAGAGAGGGAGAGGGAGAAACATCAATGATGAGAATCATTGATCAACTGCCTCCTGTACACCCCCTACTGGGGATGCAGCTGGCAACCCAGGCTTATGCCCTGAACTGGAATCAAACCCTGACCTGGTTCATGGGTCGACGGGAACCACACCAGCTGGGCCCCTTCCTAAAACTTTTTACCTCAATTCTTTAAATGATTTTCTTTTGTGACAGCATTTAAATCAGCATTGTCCAACAGAACTTTCTGTGATGTTTTATATCTGACAATGTTAGCTACGAGCCATTGAGCATCTGCAATATGACTAATGCAAATGAATAACTTGTAAATTTTAAGGTTTTAGCCACATGTGGCTAAAGGTTACAGTATTGGACAGCACCTATCTAGACCAATACTTTTCTGATGAAACAAGCCAATTGTACCAAACAAAATATTAAGTGATATCACAGATCATATTCACAAGTATCTTAACTATTCCTTCCAAATACTGTATTAGTGACAATGGTTGTGATGTTATCCTACTTAAAATTATATATTAAAAAAGGAGAACATAGTCTATCATCTAGAAGGAGCACTTTCATGAAATAGGCTTTCAGTATCTCTAAAGAAAGCAATGAAGCTGAAGATTATTTAAGTGAAATTTTAAAATTACATTTTCAATTTTTCAGAAAGCAGATGATTTATCTTTAACAGGTATTTAAAAGGAAAAAAAGTTACCTATTCTACAAGCTAAAATATCAAGATAAAGCTCTGACCCCAAATTATGTATTTCATCTGCATTCTGTCACTTTTATTTAAAGCAGAGTTCTACCTGTCACAGTGAAAACAAGGATTAAAAGTTATTGCTAACTTCAAAAACAAGAAAGCCAAAATACTAAATTAGACTTCTTAAAAAGCAGAGAAGGGTATAATCAATTTGGATAACTTAAAACCCACTGATGCAACTAAATTAGTGCAAACTGTTTCTTTACATATTCTTAAACATTCCCACAGTATTTATTCCCAAGCATACCATCTATAATAATAAAAGCGTAATATGCTAATTAGACTGGATGTTCTTCCGGATGAAGGGGGGGCTGCAAGGGAAGCTTGGGTTCCAGGTGCCAGAGGGAAGACGGTGCCGGCAGCTGGGGGAAGGAAGGCCTACTCTTGCACGAATTTCGTGCATCGGGCCTCTAGTCTATAAATAAAATAGAATTCACAACGGCTTCAGGATCTCTTTCTAATATGTCCTTTATGTCATGTATTTCTTAAATCATCTTTTCAATTAATAAAATGGGCAACATAAGCCAAAGAGCATGTTATTTCTAATCTTGCTATAAATCTACCTTACCAAAATTTTTGGTCAGGGGGACTATGACATATGAATCTGCATTATAATTTAAGGAAAGTCATTTGTAGCCAAGACCTAAAGAACACTGCCTCAGTCAGGAAAATCGTTTTTAATAGTTCAGTGACAGCGAACTATTTAAATCTGTCTTTTACAATTTACAGTTATTTGGCTCTAAAAAGAAAGGATTCATATATTATACTTAATATAAATTTTTAATATAAATTTAGTGTACTATAAGTACACTGAAATCCAGAGAGGGAGGTCTAGGAAACTGACCTCAATGGGTATATAATAGGAAAGATACAGAATTTGGAGGCACATTCTAAAGGAAGTTGGCTCACCAATAAAATTCGTCTGAATATTAGCAGAAGTACACAAATGCTCAAAACACCATTTGTGACTGCACCTATGTATACCAACACTTTTAGATTGTAAAATTAGAATAACTAAAAACTGAGCAAAACATTCTCATCAAAACAAGTAATTTGGGCTCAATAAAATTTTAAAAATTATTAAAGCCTGTTGTATACTGGCTTCTTTTAAAAAAACTTGGGGAAACAGCTGAGTAAGAAATCCTGAATGCACAAATTGGGGAAAAGTAAAAAAATAGGAATAAAAACACTACTGTCAATAACCAAAGCAATGAAAAGGAGTTAGTGAGCAACTTTCTATATCTTAAAAAAAAATTGTTTTTCTCTAATTTTACATTATGTTCCTAATGATAAAGCTACTTTCTGAATCAAATTTAAAATACCTCCAGATTAATTCTTCTTCACTTTAAAATAAATGACCATTTGTAGTCTAGATCAGAGCTCAGTCTGATAAGACCACAGGGAGTAACTGGTGAAGAGAGTATTGAGGTATTAAAGTTCAAATGTGTGAAATATATTGTGCTTGCCAAACAAAACATTCTACAAGTTTCTAATGAAAAACCTCCCCCTTTTTGATTCCTGGCTGAAGTGGTTAACTATCCAGGTTGTGAAGAAAAAACACAGTAAAATATAAAAATAAACATTTGGGAGGGTCTCAAAACTTTGTATTGATAATGTGTCTGGGGAAAAAACTAAAAACTTAAAAATATATTACTACCTCGTTATCAGATTGTTTAGCTTAAAAACCTAAGTTAGTAAGACCTTAAACTAAACCTTCAAAATGCTAAACTTGGTAATCACATCTTTTAAAAAATAATTACTCATTAAAAGTGAATTATTCACTGTGTTCCATCAAAGCAGAATAGTTGATGCCTAATCATTGGTTGTAGAATTATAATCGGCTGTACTGTTGGTACTGTAAAAACACCTATTAGTCACTGTAGAAGCTACTGGGAATAGTCTGCTGCCAGGCGTAACAGACACTGAATACACTTAGAATATAAGAAACTGAGTGGATTTAATAGGTTTTGTATAATACTATATAATAAACTGTATAATAGTTATAGTAAAGTATTCTGGAAAGAAGTAAGAGCTAATGTCCTACCATTTCCCACGTCTATCATCTGCATACTTCCCAAATGTAAGTAAGATAAGATAGCATAGCTAGGTCTAGACCAGGTAAAAGAATGTATTAACACAATCCAACAAAAATGAAATAAAACAATCCAGAGTTTTGAGTGTTTTTTTCACACTGTAATAAACTGGAGAAATGTTTCGATTAAATAAAACCCCATATTCCATGAAAAAAGCCACTCCCATCATCCAGAATACTAAAGCCCTTACATAACACTAGAGAAATTTTAATTAAGTGAAACAGTAGAAACTAGTATACCATTCATTAGAAAACTCGAAATATTCAAAAAATTTTGTGTCAAGTACTCAGAGAAAGCGCAAGAAGCCAAAACCTCAGAATCCACACATCCTGATATTACCCTGAATTGCAATTAACTACCCACACATTTTATCATAAGTCAACTTTTTCAAAGATATACAGACAATGCTTCTATTTAAAAAAATTACTCTTTATAGTTAAGGACTTGACATTAACTTTCATATTCTACTTGGCAAGATCTGTCTGTACTTCAGATTATCTTTCATGTTCCAGGAAATACAAACTCATGATATGCCTGTGATCTCTGATGGCTTGTTTATCAATTCTACTCCACTAAACATAATTCCATAGAATGTGCTCTTGATTATGTAAAGAATCTAATACTCCTTGATGAAATACTATAATCTCTTCTCCAATAGTTACAATTTTTAAAAAGGTATTCGAAGAACTGAGTATCATTCCTTTGAAAGACCAAAAAAAAGTATAATTTTGTTCCAAAATTAACTTAGTCTCATGTATTTCTATTAAGTCTTTCAAGGATTCCAGAGAATCTTTTCAAATCTCCATTTCTGGAAAGTGAAACCACTATAGCAGTAATTTGGGAACTTGAAAATGGCATTCATTTTTTTCAGCAGATGCCAAATTTTTGACAGACATGGCTCCCACAACTACTTTGTTACCATCAGTCCAGTCAGTTAACAGGTTGTAGGAAAAGATTCGCTTTTGCAGACACTGCTAAGCTGTTCAAAGAGAAGAGAGAGAGATTAATTTAGTGATTATAAAATGTACAAATATTTAAAATATTTTGAACACTTTTTGTCGGCTTATATCAGAGGTGTGACTACATTTTAACAAACACGGACATTTTAGTTAAGTCAGGTCAAGGAAGTACAGAAACAGTAGTCAATATGATAGAAATAGGTCAATATGATGTTAGTTCAGTTAATGTATGAATTCCTGTCACCATCAGAAGACAAATATTAAAAAGCGACATCTGTAGTCTAGTTCTGTATCATTTTGCCATAGAGGCAAAATTCAGAGGGGAAAAAAAGATTGCCCAAATGCTATTTTCATCCATTACAGTAAATAAAACCAAACCGGAAAATTTCAAAACAATCCATATATTCCAGAAATCTTTATACAACTATTATTCACCAGAACACAATTTTCTAAAAATAGTAAGACAACAGTTTCATATTAATCATAACTTTTTTAATTAACAAGTAGTGAATAGGACACTTTTAAGATATTGTTTACTACATACTGAAATAAACAGATCTGTTGTAAATTCAGAAACTCAAGACATTTACAGTAAAATGTGTTTATACATAAATATGACCAAATTTATTTAAAGCCCCTATTAGACAGGTCCTAAATACATGCAATACCATGTAAAACAAGACTATGAAGCTGATGCAAAAAATGACAAAAATCACTGAGTCACCAAAATTAGAGGGAAAAAAAAATGAAATGGAAACTAAGAAAAGACAGTTAAAACATAAGTAACCTAACAAAGCAGCTTTAAAAATAGGTGATACTAATCTCCACTTTCAAAAGTTCTTAATCAAGTATTTTCAAAAACTGCCATTTATAAAATGACATTCTAAAAATCTATACTTGGAATTTCAAAACATCCCAATTCAGAAAGCTTTTGACTACTGTTTTCCCCAGCCCCAACTTCAAATAATGCAGGAAAAGCACTGATGTTAGGAAGAAAATATTCCAAGGAATGGTATAATTTTTAGAAAAACGCACTTACTGCTTCCAGAACCTTTAAGACCCACAGTCAGCATTAACAATCATTTTTCCTATTCTCATCCATTATTTTTCAATGTCATATTAGAGATGAAAAAATTCTTTGAGCCCATAACTGAAAGATCAACAAACCTGGTTTTATTATGACACCATATTTTTGTCATTGGTACTGCACAAAATTATATACAAAGAAATATATACAAAATGTTCAAGTATTAATTAAATTTCAATTCAAGACTTCTGTTTCAAAAATCTACATTTAACATATTTCATAATGATAGCACAAATTAGTCATTTTAAATAATTTTCCAACTACTTTTGGTTTATATATATATGTTTATGTATAATTCAGTAGGCACTAAAAATCCATGCAGCTGCATCGTGAGGGGCTTGCTCCTGCACTTAGATATAAGCAGATTCATAACTCCAGGCTGTGAGTTTGGCTACTACCCATTCATGCTCAAGTGCAGAAGATGGTTTTACAAAATTGCTGTGATGCACTGGAAACCAGAGACCGTTAAGTCTCAACTAGTATTATCTAGAAACAAAACATTTACAGTTGTGCAAGAACAAGGATTCCATTTTCATAACCAAATAACAACAAAATAAAACATTTTGTGTGTAAGATAACTTACATCTTTGGACTGCTGGAATAACTTTTAATTATGAACATTTTAAAAGAAAAGACAGCAGAAGCCCTGATATTACCTCTTTTCCTCATTTCTTATACTACCTTTTAAAATAAAGCAGGAAATGTGGCCAGCAGCTGGTCCCGTCTCTTCTGCCCCAACAGCTGTATCCACTTTAGCACAAAGAAAAACAAGGATGCTAAATAGGTATATACTTTATCAAACAGTGATGTTTCACAAAGAATTTCTTTTCTTTCTTTCTTTTTTTTTTTAACAAAGAATTTCTTAATGCCTGTTACACTGAAGGCCACCATAACTCAATTTATACAATTGGACAATAGACAATAGAGAACTTCAAGGGAAGAATATATCCCATCTTTGGAAAAAGTGTCAATCGTGTCATTAAGTAGTCAGCACCACTCAATTTTTAAAATACCTTTGAAATATGGAAAATAAGATTCTTTGTGAAGCCTCACTTTACATGTTTTCATTCACATTTCACAACCTTCAAAATCGAATCATACATAAATTTAACCTAAAATTTTAATACAACAAAAATAAAGGTGTTCAACAATTTATTCATACTCAGTAATAGGGTCATCACTGTGCTGGTCCTCAGAGAAGCATTTCATTAACCATTCTTAGTCCTCCTTCAATTAGCTAACACAGGAGTCTGATACGCATGTTAATTTCCAACTTCTCTAACAGTGAGATATTAAAATCTGTTAATCTGAATATTGTGGTTCTAGATCTCCTACTTAAAACTAAAAGGCATTACTGAATATTTAAGAGTTATTTTGTTGTCACCTCCAGCAAAATAACTATCACCTTTGTGCATGCCCCAAACACTTATTGGTCAACCTCTGCAAAGTTGCTCTAATACTGGAATTCCAATTTGCACCTTGTACAACTCGGAACTTCCATTCAACTTCACCTGTTTCACTGTCTCCAAACTGTATCTCTATTAGCAGCTTTCAGTGTACAGTTGGAATCGATGTCATCCAAGGCCATGTCCACACTGGGGACAGAAGAGCTAGGTACACGCAAGTCTGAACAAGGGGACACAGTAACAGCTATTTCAACCATGAAGAAGCATCTTAAATACATTACTGACCAGCACAAGTCTGTTTCCAGGGTGGACAGGGCCCAAATTACATTCCCCTCCCGCCTTCCAAAAAAGAAAAAAGATAAAAATAAAAATAAAAACCACACGCACACACAAAATTGAGATGTTGCCCATTAAAGTAGACTAAGCAGCAGAGCATGAGCGGTACGTGAAGAGATGGAACCTTACCAGGTGGTGAGGCGGGAACCACTGTTCTGTAACCCCTACAACGGAGCCTGGCAGGAAGGAAATCACCTAAAAAAGAAACTGTCAGAGAGATTTAATAGTCACATGTTATCATTGGGAGTTGGTTACAGTGTCACATTCATGCTTTTAGCTAAACACTTAAAAGACTCAATATTACTTTTTTTTTTTTCTCTCCACCTGAAATGTGTCCAGTGACGATGTCCCACTAAGGAGTTTGACATGGTGTTAAGGGAGCTGAGAGGGGGAAACGCGGGTAAAGAGCAGATTACTTGACCCTACATTTTCAGAGAAGACGACGCCTTCCGGGCGCACGCCGAGCAGAACTCCACCGACACCTTATCCTTGTCCACATGGAGGCACACTCCTCCCGCCGCGTCGTCCTCTTCCAGCAGGTCCTGCGGCGGCTGCTTCCCCACCGGCAGCGCGTAGTCGTGGTCCCCGGCGGGCGCGTCCCTGAAGAAGA